GCATCATAGGAGCAGAGAGGCTAGCAGCATCATAGGAGCAGAGAGGCTCGAAGCGTCAGCCTCTCTGCTCCTATGATGCTGCTTGGCCTGCTGTGTTCATCCAGCCCTGCACCTTGTTGTCTCGGATTCTCCAGCATCTGCAGTTCCTACTATCTCTTGTATTTACACAACCCTTTTCATGTCTACCAGACATCGCCAGCACTTTACAAACAGAGAAATACTTTTTAAGTGTGATGTAAGAAACACGCACATCAAACTCCAACAATGTGATAATTGCCAGATAACCTGTTTATCTGGTGTTGGCTGATGGATAAATAACTGACTGGGACCCAAAGATAATCACTTGCTCTTCTTCAACATAGTGCTATGAGATCTTTTACATCCACCTCATCAATGGGGTGTCAGTTTAACTTCTCACCTGAATGATGGCACTTCTGAAGGTGTAACATCCTTTAGTACAGCACAGCAGTGTCAGCCTCAATTTTTGTGCTTAAGCCCCAGAATGAGACTCAAAGAAAAGAATCTTGTGACTCGTTCAAGCGTACAATCAACAGAGTTACTGTGGAAGGGTCACTCGACCCAAAACTTTAACTCTGATTTCTCTTCACAGATGCTGGCAGACATGCTGAGTCTTTCCAGCAACTGCTATTTTTGTCTCTGAGCTACAATTGTTAAACACTATCATTTGACAGCGAAATCATACCAGGTTTTGCCAGTGACAGGATTGGGTGATAAATAGAAAAGAATATCCTTGTGCAGTTTCCATTTGGCTTGAGTATCTATTTATTTATTTTTATTTATTTTCAAAACAATACATTTCTTTAAAATATGTACTTTAAAAAAGCACAAACCGAGGAGATCAGAGTGAAGAATGGAACAAGCCACAATTAACAGTAAAATCTATTGTGTTTCATTAGAAACAAACATTCAGGGTTAAAAAGAATTTGGATTCTGTACAAAATTACAACTTAATTTGTATTATTGCCTACAAAGTTATTTTGTTAAATTTAGTCAAATTAATTTTTATTTGATGGGTTATTTACAGTACCATAGTAAAACAGTAAAATATTACAGAACATGTGCATTTCGAGCTCCCATTGAAATCTTGTTTAGGATTTTGTGCTTTACCTCATATAGTACTGTGACAACAATTTCCTGATTACTGTAAGAACTTCACATGACATAAATCCGTCTTCTTCACATTATACCATGAAACTGGACTCATCATGGATGCAGCTTACAATAAATATTGATGATGTGTCAGGACTGGTGTTGTTCATCTAAGTTCTAGAACCTTTCCCTCTCTTTCTCCTTTTTTAAAAATAAGACCATGATATATGAGCAGAATTAGGCCATTTGGCCCATCAAGTCTGCTCCACCATTCGATCATGGCTGATATGTTTCTCAACCCCGTTTCCCTACCATCTCCCTGTAACCTTTGAATACCTTACCAATTAAAAACCTATCTGTCTTTTAAATGCACTCAGTCACTCAGAGCCCACTGAGGCAATGAGATCCACAGATTCACCAGCCTGTGGCTAAAGAAATTCCTCCTCATCGCTGTCATTCCTTCACTCTGAAGCTGTGCCCTCAGGTCCTAGTCTTTCCTACTAGTAGAAACATCTTCTGTGTCCACACTATCTACGCCTCTCAGTATTCTGTACATTTCAATGGAATCCCCTCCTCATCCTTCTAAGCTCCATCAAGTGCAGATCCAGAGTTCTCAACCATGCCTCATGTGACAAGCCCTTCATCCCCATAATCATTCTTGTAAACCTCTTCTGAACCACCTCCAATGCCAACATGTCCTTCTTTTGATACAAGGCCCAAAACTGCTTACAGTATTCCAAATGCAATCCGACCAGAACCTTTTACATTCTCAGCAGTACATCTCTGCTCTTGTATTTGAGCTAATGAATACTAACATTACAATCGCACTCCTAACTGCCAGCTGAACCTACATGTTAACTTTAAGACATTCCTGAACAATGGCTCCCTTTCTACTTTAGATTTCTGAAGACTTTTCCCATTTAGGAAATAGTCTACACCTCTGCTCTTTCCTCCCAAAGTGCATAATCTCATACTTTCCCAGATTATATTTCATCTGCCACTTCTTTGCCCACTGTCCTAGCCTAAGTCCTTCTACAGCCTCCTTGTTTCCTCAACACTACTTGCCCCTCCACCTACCTCTGTTTCATCTGCAAACTTAGCAACAGCCCTTTCAGTTCCTTCGCCCAGCTCGTTAATGCGTAATTGTGGTTCCAACACCGACACCTGTGGAACTCTACTAGTTACCGACTACCATCCCGGAAAAGACCCCTTTATCCTTACTTTCTGCAACTCACTATCCATACCTTGCCTCTAACACCATGGGCTCTTATCTTATTTAGCAGTCTCCTTTACAGTACCTTGTCAAAGACCTTCTGGAAATCCAAATAGATCATGCCCATTGGCTATCCTATGTCTAACATGCTTGTTATCTCCACAGAAAATTCTACCAGATCTGTCAGGCAGAATCTCTCCTTAATGAAGCCATGTTGACCCAGTCCTTTTTTACCATGCACTTCCAAGTGCTCCACAATCTCATCCTTAATAATGGACTCTGAAATCTTACCAATGCCTAATGTCAGGCTAACTGGCCTATAGTTTCCTGTCTTCTGCTTCTTCTCTCCTTAATTAGAGGTGTTACTGTAGCCATTTTCCAGTTCTTTGGAACCCTCCCTGATTCCAATGATTTCTGAAAGATCACCACCAATGCCCCTATAATCTCCTCAGCTATCTCCTTCAGAACTTGAGGTGTCATCCATCTGGTTCAGTGATTTATCCACTTTCAGTCATATCAGCTTCCTCAGTATTTTCTCCTCAGTGATGGCCACTACAGTCACCTCTGCCCCCAACTCTATTGAAGTTGTGGTATGCCACTGGTGTCTTCTACAGTGAAGACTGATGCAAAATACGTATTCAGTTCCTCGGCCATTTCTTTGTTCCCCATTACTACTTCTCTAGCATCATCTTTCCCAGCAGTCCAATGTTCACTCTTGCCTCTCTTCTTACCTTTTATATATAGAACAAAAAAAAAGCACAGGAAGAGGCCCTTTGGCCATCCAAGACTGTGCCAACAGATTTTGCCCTTCCATACTAAAACTGTCTTCACTTACAGGATCTGTATCCCTCTATTCCTTTCCTATTGATGTATTCATCCAGGTGTTTCTTGAATGCTGCTATTGTGTCCACTTCCACCATATCCTCTGGCAACATGTTCCAGGCACTCACCACCCTGTGTGTGAAAAACCTGCCTCACACATCTCTTTCAAACTTTCCCCCCTCTCACATCTCTTTTAAACATCTCCCCCCTTACACCTTGACCCTGTGTGCCCTAGTAATTGACCCCTCCACCATGGGAAAAAGCCTCATACTTTCCAATCTATCCATGCCATTCACAATCTTATACACTTCTATCAGGTCACCCTCAACCTCCTGCATTCCAGAGAAAACACCCAGTCTATCCAACTTTTCTTCAGAGCTAAAATCCCCCATAGCAGGCAACATCCTGGTAAACCTTTTCTGTACCGTCTCCAAAGCATCCACAAACTTAGCGTAGTGTGGTGACCAGAAATGTACGCAATATTCCAAGTGCAGCCTAACTAAAGTTCTATAAAGCTGCAGTATAACTTGTCTATCCTTATACTTAATGTCCCTTGCAATGAAAGCAAGCATGCCATAAGCCTTTTTTACGACCTAATCTACCTGTACTACCACCTTCAGTGATCTGTGGACCTGCTCTCCCAGATCCCTCTGCATATCAATACTCCTAAAGGTTCTGCCATTCACTGTATAATTTCCACCCGTACTTAACCTTCCAAAATGCATCACCTCACATTTGTCCAGATTAAACTCCATCTGCCATTTTTCTGCCCATGCCTCCAACTGATCTATATCCAGCTGTATCCTCCAACAATCCTCCTCAACTATCCTCAACTCCACTAATCTTTATATGGTCTGCAAACTTACTAATTAGGCCAGCCACGTTTTCCTCCAAATCATTCATAAAGATCATGAACAGCAGAGATCCAGCACTGATCTCTGTGGAACACCACTGGTCACAACCCTCCATTCTGAAAAGCAACCTTCCACCACTATACTCTGTCTCCTGTGACCAAGCCAGTTTTGTATCTGTCTTGCCAGCTCACCCCTGATACCATGTGACTTCACCTTTTGCACCCGTCTGCCATGAGGGACCCTGTCAAAGGCTTTACTTCGTCACCTCTTCAAAAATTTTGATCCAGTTAGTGAGGAATGACTTCCCCCGCTCAAAACCATGTTGTCTATCACTAATGAGTCCATTTGCTTCTAAATGCATTTAGATCTTGTCCCTGAGAATCTTTTCTAATAATTTTCCTTCCACCGACAGGTTTGTAATTTCCAGGATTATCCCTGTTAGCCTTCTTAAACAATGGGA